TGAGCCTAAAAAAGCATCATCCAGGTAGAGCTCTGGTATCTGCGCAAGGCTGCCAGCCAAAGATATATGATAAAACCCAAAATGAGGCGAGGAAACAATCAAAGCAAATAAACAAAATGCTTTGGGAGCTAATGCATTCACTTCTAGGTTTACTGAAAGAAACTGTCGCTTGCATTTTGGATGGTTGCACATAAAGTTGAAAGAGTAACTCCATAATGTCATTTGTACTTGTGCTTCTGAAGAGGTAAATGCGTATGAAATGTATAAGGCAAATGTGCATGAAGCGAATATTAGTCCCTCCAGACAGCAGCTATTAAAGTGGATTACAGTGGTGCAGCAAGAAGGGAATTTGACCAAAAAGAGGAAGTCATTTAGTGCTGGGAAAAGAGGAGAAAACAGACGGCAAGGCAAGGCAAAAGACAAGGCAAGGCAAGGCAAGGAAAGGAATAAAACTGTCAACATTTTGGCTTTATACACATGTACATAAAAGCTTAAGATCACAATTCCCCAAGCATACTGTCCACCCATCTCAATTCACATGCAAACCCATATCCCTAGGCTGCTCCCAGTGTGACATTGGCTAGAAGATACGTGAAGGTGACAGATGGAGTGTACCAAGGAGTTCAAAATAGCGTGAGGTTCTTTAGATGGGAGGACACTAACATAAATAAATGTCTTTCGTTCTTCCGGCAGATTTTAATCATGGGCGTGAGTTATTCAGACATTAAACAAGTAGCATCTTTGAATAAAGGGAATATAATACATGAAGTGAGCTAAGTTATAGAATCTCTTTGTTCCTCCAGGCCAAGTTTTGAAGGACCACAACAGCCTAAATGTTTGTGAGCATCACACAAAGAAGATAACAGATACCACCTGGCTGTGCCTGAGCAGCCTACGGCAAGTCAAAATTTCAGTGAGGCAAAGCCAGGGAAGGGGGTAGGAGTAAGATTTTAAGTGATACACTCAATAGAAAAGTTGCCTTTGTGTTAGTGAGAGTTGTCCAATGGGGACAGCCAGCCCCTCAATAGATCCTACCAGACAAACAGAAACCAGCTTGGCAGCAGGATTTCCAGACTGAAAACAAAAAAAAAAAAAAACCACAAGACAACATCACCTTCTGTTACCCAGAGGAAAAAGCAGCTCCTGGTTCACCAGGAGAGAACAGGCCTGGCCCATGCCTGACTGTCCAATTTTCACATCCACCGCCATGGGAAATGCTAGAAAACTGACAGGGCCCTGAGTGCACTGCCAGGCTCTGCACCACCCTCCCTTCCCCAGCCCTGCATTTGGCTCCATGTGTTCAAGGTCAGCCTCAATAAGGTACAGATATGTGACACTGGCTCGGCCCAGGAAAACAGATAAGTTGTGAGGAAGAGCAATGAGAAGCCTCATCAAGACCTCTGTCCCCCTTCTTTGCTCAGCAGCTTCATTTCAGCTCTGGCCCTTGCCCTGGGCTCCTGCTTGAGCTATGCTGCTGGCCATTACCTTGCTGACCCCAGCCTTGCCTTTCTGACCTGACTTCCTGGTTGACCATCAACCTGCCTCACTACTATGGGCTTCTCTGGAAATCACTGGACTGTTGGCTGAACCCGGTTACGTGGACGGACCAGTTTTGTTCTTCTCAGTCACTTGAGGCCATGTCCGCATTCATGGGACCACTGCCCTTCTTGCCTTGCTGTCCCCTTGGCTCCTGTCTCTATTTCCCTTGTAAAGCAGCCCCCCCGATGCTCTCTGACCAAAACAACAATAAAATGATAAGCCAGCAACTTCATCTGGGGACAATCTGTCCTGTGATCCAAGGAGTGTGTTACTACCCAGCACAGTCCTTCTGTGCTCGCCTCTCCTTCTTCCACTATATTTGTAGCAAGACCACCTCCGAGTTCTGAAAGCTTAACATGCAACTGTTTCACACAGCCTTTTTCGCACCAAGCACCACAGTAATATAAGGTAAAAAGCAGCCTCCTTACTATAATCAAGGGATGACAGGTCCACCTTCAAACAGTTAATTCCTTGAACAAGTGTTTCTTGTTTGCAAAGTGCCTCTGAAAGGTCTAAAACCATCAACAGGTGAAATTTAGGCTGTCCAAATTTGGACCTTGAGGTTTCAGACCTACTAAAGGGCAGAAAATCACCTGCTAAGAGGTGGTGTGCCTGGAAATTCACAAAAGGAGAAAGGACAGAGAAGAGTTCAAGGTGAGCTATTTGACGAGGAGAAAGGCTATAGATTAAGGTCATTTTCTGTGGTGCCCTCCCTCCCCTCTTCTCATGAAAACACTTAGATAAAAGGGTACGATTACTATCAATCAGTTTATGCTATCCACCAGATTATCAGACAGAACTATTGACCTGTATGTTTTATGTTGTAAAATCAATAAAAGAAAGAAGAAAGATGGCAAGAAAAAGAAAAATAGCAGCATGAAATTCTGAGCTGCTGAGCATACTATTTCTCAGGCTATCTTTGTGTATTCACAGAGTGATGTAATACACTTCTCACAATTTCATCATAGATTAAAATTTCACTGGGTGACAATGTTCTCAAAAAATTTGTAGTCCTGACATTTAGGAACTTCAGAGTAGATATTAAAGAAATACTGACCTTCAAATTACAGGTTCAACTTGCTGAACAGAACTGTTAGACAGAAATACAGATGAATCACACTCATCCTGGACGTAATGGAAACAGCCTTTTGCATGATGGTGATCACTGACTTCAGTGAAAGCACAGACATTTGCACCAGCTGAGTGCCCAGCCTTGACATATATCAAGATTCAGTGAACACAATTTCATACCTGGAGCCTCTGTGAGCATGGACCAAGGTCTTGGTCCTCAGCTGCAGAGCTGTGGGGATGCATCAGCTGAGAATCTCAGCCTATGTCTTTGGTCTGACTAAACCCAAACTGCATTATACTTCTGTATTTCTGGCAAATGACCCTTAGTTTCCTAATCCCCTTGACTATAACCATTGTGAATGGTTTCTATAGCACTGCCAGATGAAGCCCTTATGCAGAAGCCTTTACTCATGCAGAGATAACAGATCTACTTCTGAGAGGAAGGTGTAAAAACAGATTTCAGATGCAGGTCCAACATCAGACATTAAAGGGTATAATTCATCATTTTTTTACATTATTAAGAATATTTATGCAGGATCTTTAATTAAAACTAAAAGAGATGTCTCCTCCTTTTGCCAGCCACTCTGTTGCATCAATTAAATGGGTAAATAAGATCTTTCCCCAGAGGGGATATCATGTGACCCTCTATTGATTAAGACTGCAGTAGAATGTTATTTGCAATCTTATTGCATAATGGAAATCAGGAGGTAGCTGTCATGGTTTCAGAAGACAAATTGCTGCTATCTTAGACAATTCATAGGCCTCTCTGCTTCTTGCTGCTCTTAATTCACAGTTAATGCATGTCTTAGAAGGCTTAGTTTCTCAAATCAGTCTACAGTACTGTATTCAACTCAAAACTGGGTGTAAGTGGTAGCCTACATGGCCCTGCATTATGATGGGTATTAAAACAACCATTCCATCTATCATTACTTCAGAACAGTGCACTATTTAATAGGGTAACATAACTCCATAAAAGGATGCGAAATTAAAAATAGACACCTCCTGCAGCATGCATGATTATTCCCAGGAAAGAGAGGCCTCACCCACCAGGCACAGCTCCATATAAAACATTTTTAAGTCTTAGCTCAGTTTTGTGTACTTCATTTTCACAAGCAGAACATATGGCTGGAACAAATGCACTACTCTCAAACCTGTGCAGTAACTGCAGTTAGGAAGCAGTTTTGAGACTGTAATGAACACCTGACCACAATCCAGCAGACACTTTGCTCCTCCGATGAACTATAAATCCATCTCCTTCATGGAAGAACCAGAGGGAAGGACAAAAATCTCCCTTTAAATGACTGAAACACTCTTTGCCAATTTGAGAAACCTTCAAAAATAAGGCAAATATTTCCTTACTTCTAATCAATCTTGCAGTCACAACAATTAGAAAACAAGTGCAATGCTTTTCAAAATACGTCACAGCAATATTTAACATTACCAGAATCTTCTCCACCAAAGTCAAAGAAATGGTCTTTAAGTGGCTTTCAATGGTTGTGAAGTTGTAGGACATAAGGCAAGATTTCTGAATGGAAGGAACAAGTCTGAATAACAGTGGGCAGTAGGACAGTAATAGATTCAGACAAAAGTTACAGATGTCTCACGTGTAGAAAAAAGCACTCAACTTACCATCATCTGTTTGCCATTGCACAGGATTAAAAATTAAACGTCTGCTGCCTGATCTGTTCCAGCTAAGTTGATTGATTAAAATGTGTTCATCTTCCCATCTAACTTAGCAAGCTTAAAAGTGGCAGGTTTACTTTTCCATCATTTAGAATGCCAGAGCTTAATAAAGTACATGGAAGGAAATGCCAGTAGAACTTATGTCCAAAAGTAATCTCTCACAAAGTGATAACAAAGTCTGTAAAAAATTATCACCTTGTAAAAAACATGGAGGGGGTTAGATTTCAAGGCAATGAAAGATATTTCAGTACCCTTCATTTGGCTACACATGCACATCAATAGCACTAGATTATTATTGGCAAATCTTCCTATTTAGGGAAATTATCTGGTCCTCCTACAAATGGATTTGTGTTTAAATCTTATATTTCATTCTCCTGGAAATTTGCTAAATCAATCTCAACCTAGTCATGATGAACATAAACGCTCAATATGAAGCAAAAGTGAGTAGTAAAAAGATAAGGATACAAATCCCTAAAGAATTAAATGTACTCTGGTTGCTCAGAACTTCAAAAGAGGCATTTGACACCTTAAATTAGGGTCTGCAATCATTGATCTTTTTTTTTCCTTTACTTTGAAAGGGCAAACCAGTCATTTCAGATTTCTGAACCTGAAAGAGTCCTTTCTTTTTTGAAAGTAACCCAAGACAATCACCTCCAGTTATTTCATTGTGCTTGAAATTTAACAGAAAGATAAAAAATGTTCCTTACCTTAAAAAGTCTTAAAATATTTGCGACCATAATGGACACGGAACTTGCTGCAGCACCTATCACACCTGATATCTTGTCTGGCTTAGTGAAAATAGGTGGGTCACCATTAGCACACTTCACGTCTGAACCATCTTTTTCTATCAACGCTTGCACAAAGGTTAAGGACTGTTCCAATGCGTAAGTGTCCCTGGAACATGTATCAAGGATCCGGACACCTAAGGTGATATTGGCGAGAAGATCAGGGTCTTTATTAATCTGATCAATTGCATACAGCATTGCCTCTAGTCTGTGGATCCCTTTCTCCTTCTTGAGCTCCCCACAAGGCACCCCTCTATCCCCTTTTGCATGGACAGGGAACAGTCCTCCCAGGATGATGTCCCCATCCAGTCGGATGGAGTGGGCATATTCCTGGCCATGAGTTCTTTGCATCAGGGTCAGTATCCAGTAGAATTTGGCTGTTAACAGGAAGAAACAATGGCAGGAAACTAATCGTTTGCCTTTGTATACCATTTTCTCTAAAGACGTTGTTGCTATCCAGTATCCAGATTTTCTTCTTGCTAAAGGATGAGGTTGACCATTTGAAGCTGCACTTTCTGGAGGCTACCATCAGTGCCCAGTAAGTAATACAGAACCATGCGGTAGGTAGAAAAAGGATCTCAGCAGAAGTACGTAAAATGTGTTTTACAAAAGATGTCCACTGATGTCATGGGTTGATCAGCTTCTCCAAGCAGTGGTTTTCAATTGCTCTTAATAAATGGTGAAGTGTAGGGTAGTATGTCTGGTCCTGATGCTAAGAGGAGGTCAGTAGCTTATGTCCTTGTATTTTGCCCTGCAGCTGAGGTACTTCTGAAAAAAACAGGGAGAAATACCATTTAGTTCAGCAGTTTTATACCTGTCTCACAGTGAATTTACTTTTGAATATCAGTTACATCGCCTAGGTTTTAATTTCAATATTCTGTAAGGGAGTAATTCTTGGCCTTCTGTGAATTTGAACACCTGGCTGCACCGTACTACAAGCTGGGAAACTGATGATACCAGCAGAGTAAAAGCCAAATCAGGGTAACCAAACTTAGCTTGGTGTTCAGATTCCAACCAGTAATTCCTATTTACCTTCGCATTGCATGACATCCAGAAACAGATTTGATCCGTAACACATTGTCTTTTCTGTTTTGCTGTGTCATTCTCTTCCAGCCTACAGAAGTGCAATACCTACTTACACTCTCACTCGCAGAGAGGTTCCATTTATGACAATGGAGTAATCAGGGCTCCTGAACTTAAGTACGCTCTTCAGCTGCTGCAGTACAAGCACATTCAATTCATTTGGATATTAAACTGATAATTTCTCCAGTGGAATTCACTTTTTTTCTGGGCTTACTATATATCTAAAACACCTTCCAGGTAATTTCTAACACTAAATTATTTTTATGAAAAGGTAGTTGATTTCTTAAGCAAAAAGAGCACAATGTATTCTCTTAGGAAACCAGATGAAGATCCAGTATTCCCTTTCCAACATTTTACTTGAGCTGAGGTCCAACATTAATAAGATGTCTGTTCTCTGCTTGCATTTGGACCACAATAAATAGGAACAGTGTTGTGCCCCCACTGGCATCTGCAGAAGCCCCACTGATTTTAACGAGATCAGGATTTCAGCCTACATATCTAAACACCTGACTGGCTGTTATAAATATCTCTAAATAGCCCCCACTTCAATTCTCAAGTGAGTGGCATTTAACAAAATCAATATTTAACAAAATTATACATGCCTGAATAAATTCTTAGACCTATGAAGAGAGGAGAGAGAGAATTAATTTTATGTAATACTACATAGGCACACTGTGGGCAACTGCATCTGAGCCAGTCGCTCAAGGCACCTGTCACAGGCTATGGAGAGCAGTGGACGCCCTAGGGAGGAATTCACTTGATCCTTTTCTTTAAAAAAGTTTTATTTATTATTAAATTGATCACATTGAACAAGTGCCTACCTCACTGCCTCTACAGAAAATCCAGGCAGCTGGCTCCTCTCTAGGTATGTACTTTGTCTCTAGTGATCTGACTGGTTCCTACCAAAAATATGATCAAATTAGAAGACAATTGTAGACAAAACTAAAAGACAGTTATAGACAACTATACTGTTTTTCAAAGATATTTTGAATTATTTTCCACAAGATTTTTATATATTATGTGGTAACAAAACTCAAAATGTGGTTTGATAATGCTTTAAATTGATCATCCTCTTCTTACATTTATTTTGTTACATGGTTTTCCCCAAATGATTAGTATTAACATTATCCCCAAATGATTATTATTATCATTATCCCCAAATGATTAGCTCATGAAAGCTGAAAAAGAGTTTTTAAATAGTGGCTGTTTGAAGACCTGAGGAAAAGATCCACAATGCAAAGTCTTCTATTGAATGTGAAGGTATCGCACTGTGATTTGGCAACAGAGTAACAACTTGAAAATGAGACATGTTTAATGAATGTGAATAAAATCACTGCAATCGAGAACAGCAGCACACAAGACTTTCAGTGCCTCTCAACATTTAGTTTTGCTTGAATTTGGCTCAGGGTTGAATCTAAATGAAACAAAGTCTGTGCTGGTCTATGTGATAATGCCATCATTCTCCTTTGGCTCCTTTTGGGCACATAGTTTACAAATCGGACCAGGCTTCAGCCCCATGAGCCGAACACAGACTCAGTCACAAATGGGGGAACTTGACAAACGTCACTCCTTGAGTTGATCCAGTCCCATGGGATGTTTCTTATATAGCCCACGCTATAGAGAAAGATTGTACTAACTATTAACTAGCCGCAACTGCCTGTTGTCTTGATGGCCTTAGCAGAAAAACACAGCTATTTTAAGTAAAATATTAAAGAGTAAAAGTTGTAGCTATACCTAAAATAGACACAGAGGTAATTCCTTTCTGGTTCCACAATGAACAACCAACTCATTAGTCTATGCATGTATGTACAACCCATATGGGGAGCGATTCTCTGAGGCAATAAAAGATAAAACTGCTCTTATTTAACACTGTATGGAGAACAAGAAAGCACCACTGAAAAAGTGAAAATATTCATGAAGGAAAGAAATGTTACTTTTTCTCTTGCTCAGCCTCAGGTCAATTCCTTACAGCCAAAGGATGCCCAGAAATTAAAGCAACTGTCAGCCTTTGCACAAACAAACTGTGATGAATTCAACTATTGCAACCCAAATTCCAACAACAATGGGGAAGCTACAGGGAGCCAAATATCCTCAGTCCAATACCTCATCTGGAAGTGACTGAAAGTCAAATGAATTGATAATAAGCATTTTTCAACATTATAGTCTACATAAGCATTAGATGTTCTGCCTCAGCCTTCATGTTTTCCTGAAAAAGTATGTTTCTTTACTGCAAGTGTTCACAGCTTGTCTGTAAAACAGAAATAAAATTTTAAAATGTTCTTTTTAAAAATTCAAGACCTTTTAGTCTTTTTTTTGTATTACTTAAGAAATAAAAGCTTCTATTACACTGCCTAATTTATTCATGCCACACTGCTTTTCATATATTGATTAATATGAACTTTTACAGAATGTTGTAAGGCTGTGGAGCTAAGTAGAAAGCATCTGATCTAAATGAATTCCATTTTTATCAATGAATTTTAGTGAAAAAGCATGGGCCCCTGGGCTGTAAAGCCTGAATGAACTTTCCTCATGTTCAGAGATTTCATCTGAAGTAAAACGCTGTCCTTTTCCAACTGACCATAAAACTTCAAATTAATGCAGATATATTCTTGGTTTACCAGGTTCCCCACTGTGGTAGCTGGTGTTCACTAGAAACGTGGCTTCAGAGAAAAATTACACACATTTCCCCAGCAAAGTTCAAGACTGAGTGCACCACAAAGCCTCTCTTCCAGTCACCTTGGAATACATACTTCTCTTGGGTTTAATTAATTAAAAATATCTGGCATTATCAGAACATGTTGCTATTTTTAAAGTCAGTATTTCAGCACAAACCTCCACTTGTTCTGCTAGAATATATATTTATTTTTAAACCCAAGGAGGCGGGGTACTGCAAGACAGGGGACATGGAAACTTCTGCATGTAGTGTCTGGTTCTGAAATTACTTCCTTCATAAAATCATTCAGCTTTATCAGATATTTGGTACTCAGGGTTGGGTACTTCGGTACCCTGTTGCCAGAGTCAGTGCATCAGCATGTGCCTGGGCCGGTCACTATTCCAACCACAGACTCATTGCACTGAGAGATGGGCTCATTACAGGAGTTCTTTATGTTAATGAAAAGATCTAAATAATGAGCTGAGTGACAGACAAATACTTAAACAAATACAGGCAATGTCTCTATTTTGGTAACAAGGTTTCTCAAAGAGCCATCTTCAGTCGGCACTCAAGTCGTGGCTGAAATCCTATAGAAAGATTCAATATGTTTACCTGGAAATATTTTTTTAAAAATCTCACCATTACAGACAGCCACAGGAGCAACGAGTGCTCTCTGCACCATAAGCTGGAAAACATGTTCACTGAACTTCATGGAACATTTTTTAATTGATGTTGCCAGCCAGACACACATGAACACTTTGCTGAGGGACACAAAAAAATTATTTAGTTTGGCAGGAAAAAACATCTGAGAAAAAGTATTTAAAAATTTTTTGAGGAAAAAAAAAATCATTTCTCATTGCATTTGAAGCACAGTTGGAACTGCACTAAAATAAAATAAAACCAGTATTTTGTGAACTAGAAAAGGAGGAGTTTTTGGGTGAAAACCCATTTCTACTTTCACAAAAAGTCAGGTTGTCCAGTCAATGTAAAACTGATATGAATTGTACTGAATAAAAACAAAATACAGCATCTTCCATTATGAAGTTCCGAGGAGAAAAATAATTGCAAAACTGTGCTTATTTTGACTTCATACTACTGATACGTTACTTCTGAACTATCAAATAAAAATTATCTTGCTAACGTTCATTTTAGTGTTCATAAAAGTCGCCTCTCCCTCCTGCACAGCGTTCAGCGATGAACGAATAGCTGAATTTCCACACAAGAGCAGGTAAAGAGTTGCCACCTGCACAGAGTAACCTGACACATATAGAAGATTAATGGGTTTTGCTGACAACAGAAGGGAATTTGGAAAACCTTAGGCCTTGACATCGCAACTCCTCACTTGCAGGAGAATTCTTCATTGATGTAAGTAGTCTTATCTACCTCAGCTCTTCTGTAGTGATTTGCTGTGCCCCTGCCACAGAGGTAACCTCTACACAATAATCAGGACTTCAAGGCGAGTCACCCTCAGCATCTCGTTTACAGGAATTATTCCTTCCTAGTGCACGAGAAATGCCTCCACTCGGTCTGATCAGCCTCTTTTCAAATACCCCAGAGCACCTGCCTTCCCTTTCAACCCTGCAAATACCCATCCTCCGAACAAGCTACCCTGCTAAAAACCAGCGCAGGTCCTTCTGCCAGGGTGAGACTAATAGGAGCTTACAATTTAAAAAAAACGAAACAGCATCAAATATTT